CTCCAAGCCACCTCCAACCTAATGGCGATGGCCTCCAACCTACTAGCCATGGCCTCCAACCTAATGGTGATTGCCTCCAACCTACTAGCCATGGCCTCCAACCTAATGGCGATGGCCTCCAACCTACTGGCGGTCGTAGGGTCGTCTCAAGTCGCTAGGGCTTCACTTTAGTCGCTAGTCGAGTTTCCGCAGTCGAGTTGCGTTGGATGGCTCCGTCAAGAACAGGACCTTTCAAGATCAAGACTTGGAAAACAAAATCATGATCAACTCATCAGTTTGTCAATTATTTGGCGAAAAGCCTGACAAAAAAGTGCGTAACAAGTGCCACGCTAGTCGTAACAAGTGCCTTACTAGTAGTAACAAAAAGCTATTAAATTGAATTAAAATGAGATTGCGTGTGAATCGAAGCCAAAAAATACCCCAAGTTGAGGAGCCGTGCTGATCCCGGCTGCAGGCAGATCGACCTGACAAAACAGCTCAAGGAGTCAGCAAACTGGACTAAGAGTAAAGTGAAAGCAATCCTCTGATGTCTCACGGACTTCTCATGATTTTGTTTCAATGGTCACCCTGCGTTGAAGAAGCCATGAGCCTCGTTGACCAGCTCACGCACGACTTCTTGACCACGCAAACTGAGCTCCTGAGCGCAAACCCAAGGGCGCAACCTGTAGCGTTGGACGTTGACACGAAAGCTGTCATCTGGATCACTGGATCAGAAATGAGAAGCAATATATATATATATATATCAGGAAAGGACTTCAACAATGGGGAAACAAAAGAACATACAACAACCCTCTTCGGTTGGAGACCATTGCTATTAGGTTGGAAGCTATTGGGTTGGAGGCCATCGCTAGTAGGTGGGAGGCCATCGCAATTAGAAACAAACAAAGACATACAAAAACAACATCTGTGTACCGACACACTCAGGACCGTGGTCCTCGCGGCACAATGTGGGCCGTGATTCATCCCTGGCAGCACGAGCAACCAGAAAAAGAGGCCCGTACTGGTCAAATGAGTTTGCAGATGTATGTCTGCTGATGGTCAACATGGTTTGGCACAGGTGACAAAGAAGAAACTGTTCAGTCGATGTGCACGTTCGGCTGGTCATTTGGCCCTCATCCGGTTAAAGAGGCCAGCAGCCCTAGCAGCTAGCTTGAAGTACATCAGCTTCACTAGAAAAATGTGTCTCATGCCAGGGAGTTTTGACGTAGCTGCAAGCTGCCAACCAAAATTCCAAAACGGCAGCTGAGTAGCGCCACAAGTGTCAAACAGAATGAAGCCCCTGGAACTAGGTTGAAGTTGACATTCCAGTTCCAACACAAACACGTCGTGTGTCGTGTGTAGCCTTTGGATTGATCCCGTGGCATGACCTGCATGCTCCACTGGTGAATCGACCCTCTGGCACTTCTTTGCTCAGCTTTCATAAGGAAAATGAATTCGCTGAAACGTTGACAGAAATGAACTGGGCAACTTTGGCCCGACTTCAATGGCCGACCGCAATGCGAAGACCTTCCCTTCCATGGGTCTCCCATTTCGAGAACTGCTTCTCGCGTGTTTCACTTTCAGAGCTCTTGGGAGCTCTTCATCTTGCTGTTGTCGCCGTTGGCGAAGACGGTCGCCGAACTTGGATGCAAATGATCGTCCGATTGTTCCATATGACTCCACCGAATGCAACCCTCGCAGGACGTTTCCATCCCGTCCAATTCAACTGAGTTGCGCAAAGTCTCCGTAGATCATGGCTCCAGCCGTATTCTCGATCAATGCCTCAAGCTTCCAGCAAAGAGGGCAAACACGGAAATCAGAAAAGAATTGAGAAGAAAAAAAGAAGCAGGTGATCTTCGGGCAACGGACATTGGATTCCAAGTATTGCAGGAGCTCTTGGCTGCTGAGAGGTGCAAAGCCATTCCTCATGATTCATCATCACTCATGGCAAGTTAGAGCTTCGAAATCTCACAAAAACGCAATGCGGTTACCTATCGTTACCTCATTGTCTGCTGCCAGTGACACAAAGAGCCGCTCGAAGGGTCAGCCATTAAAAGATGAGGCTGAGAGTTTTTAGTTCTTAGTGTGAACCAAACAACAACAACAACAACAACAACAACAACAACACCAACACCAACACCAACACCAACACCAACACCAACACCAACA